GTGTGTGTGTGTGTGTGTGTGTGTGTGTGTGTGTGTGTGTGTGTGTGTGAAATGCTCAAATCTAATTATTCTCTACCTCTCCTCGTAGCAGGGATGTGGCTTAGACAGACTGCTGCTGGCTCAAGGTTTTCATTGCTGCACTACCTCTCTCTCTCTCTCTCTCTCTCTCCCTCCCTGCATCCTACCTTACCCCACCTTCTTCCTGGTTCATCTATCCTCCTGCCCCCTGTTTTATCTTCCCCTCTCTCCTCTATCACTCTCTCACAGATGCCACATCACACCACACACTTTCCCTCTCTCTCTCTCTCTCTCTCCCATCTGCCTGCTTTCTCGCTCGCTCCACCAGCTTGTCGCCGGCTGTCTGTTCATTTGCCACGGCAGAGCAACAACTGGCTTCTTTCAGTGCTGGAGAGCAGCAGGAAAAGTGGAAGGAGAAGAAGAAGAAGTAGAGGAGGGAAAAGGAGAAGAAGAGGAGCTCTTTTGTGAAGCGTCCTTTCGCTCGTCCCTCTCTGGCAGCGGCAGCCGCAGCATCCGTACCGCTGCCTCCGTCATCCGCCGCTCTCGCTGCTGGATGCTCCGTCTCCTGCCGGGATCTGCCTCCACCTTCTCCTCAGGGAGCTCTTCCTGGAACTGGGAGGGGGGAGGGAGATCACCACCTCCCAGTTTGCCACGGACCCTCAGCGAGGCGAGGAGAATTGTAGGAGAGCTGAGGAGAGGCGCCACCCTGAGTGACAGGAGGAAGCAGGGTAAGAGGCCAGAGTGGCACGCACAGAGCTCGCACTTCCATACTTTGCCGTCTCCATTTGCACATCCTGTGAAGCGCAGAAAAAAAAAAGCTGGCTTCTACATCACCTCCATCAGCCTGCTCTCCTGTCTGCACTCATCATCCTCACCAGACTGTGGGCACTTTGTGTGAAAGCAAGGTCCTGAAAGTTGAGTGGAGACAGGAGGGAGTAACTGCAGGTCCTGTGCAAAGAGGAAGGAAGCAACAGCATCCTCCTGATGTGTGCTGCTGCTCTTCCAAACAAAGACTGACACGCTCGTAGTAATCTGATGAGACTCCAGGGAGCTTCCACTCTACAATCAATGATACTTGGGCCGGCCGACCTCTCTCAGTGTGTGTGTGTGTGTGTGTGTGTGTGTGTGTGTGTGTGCAGGCTGGCCTGGCTGAGTCGAGCTTAAGTGAAGAATAGAGGAGGGGATGCTAGGTTAGCCTCTCTTCCCTCTTTGTCTCGTTCCTCCTCAGTCTTGGTGCTGCTGACTCTGATCATCAGTTTGTTTCTGCTTCAGCTCATCTGCACGTTGGGATTTCTCATCCTGTCACATCATCTGTTCCTCCTGTTAAATATGATTTTTCAGTCCTCAGGAACAATGAAACAGTTCATTTAGTGCCAGCGTGACAGAGGCACACACTGACAACCTTTTACCAAAGCAGCCACAGACTGATTGTGGAAAAAAAATCAATGGAACGATTTCGGATCAGCTTAGCTGGAGCGTGCTCTTTGTGTTCAGCCGGCTAGTTTAATTAGAATAGAACGGAATAAATTTGCTTGAACTTTTCATCCATTATTCATGCGTCACCCACCGACATTTAAATACATCGCTTTAATTTCAAAAATAAAGAAATAAATCTGCCAAACTAACATTTAGGATTTAAAGTCCATTTTAAAGTTAACAAGTTGCAACAAGTAAACTCTGTAAACGTGACAAAACGCTTGCTCTTCCAGTAAATAGCCCGCTCCGGTACAGACACCTGCAGAAACACAGGAGTATTTCATAAAATCAAACGAATGAGTTGCCTGCATGCGCTGCCCCCTCCCTCCCTCCCTCCCTCCCTCCCGTTGTATAATCCATGTGTTGATTTCTCTGCCTGTCCCGTGGGGGTGGGGAGGGGATGGTAATGGAGTGTACGGGGCTATTGTCACACCACAGCAGCTCCTGGCCTGACCTGCCTAACCCTCCGTCTCCCCTGTGTGTGCCCCCCAGCCCCCCTGTCACCCTCCACCCCCTCCTTCCCAGGTCTCACGGGGAAGAGCCGGATGAGCACCGGGAACCAAAACTCCCCATTGCTTCGGACTTTCGGGAGATCTGGGCGGTGCTGGCGGGCTGTAGTCCAGGTGAGAGACGGCCGCCGTTTCTCACGCTGCCCCTGTCGCTTGCAGAGATGCACAGAGCCGCGAGCGACTGAATCGATGTAACGTGAGCTTCTTCACACCCTTTTCTCTCTGTTTTCTGTGTCTCCCTCTGACACCCTCTTGCCGGCTTGGATTGAAAATGCCACCATTGTCAATTTTCTCCTTTGCAGAGGAGCCATTGATGGAGCGTAGCCTCACGCTGCGGCGAGGCGTCTTCAATCAATGCACTGGCCACTCTCTGTGTATGTGTATGTTTCTGTTTGCCACCGGAGCCTGAAGGGGGGCTGCTGATGGCAGCGGCGATGGCCACGGTGGTGATGGTGGTGGTGATGATGATACGATGGCAGTGGCGCCGCTCACGTGCTTTCTGGCTTAGCTCCCCTGTTTACTGACAGACTCTCTTCGGTGACGGGTATTCTTGGGTGGATAATACAGATCACGTTGTTATTGCTTAAGAATACGCGTAGTCGAGGAGAGTCCTCTCTTCGCCCAATACCCCTCAGCCCCACCCCCCGCACTCACCCACCTCACCTCCCCCCCGACAAAACACCACCCAACCACGGAGGTCTGTCAGGTTGGGTGAAGCCACACCTCCACGCTCCACCTTCCTATAAAGAAAACCCATCTCTTCTTTGATTTCCGCTGCATCCCGCTGTCTTGCCTTCCCGCCCACTTCCTGTGTGCTGAGCCACGGTGTGAGGTCGACAGTGTCCTCGTGTCTGTCCCACCATGCATCTGTCGGTGTGTCTCTGTCTGCGAGGCGTGGCGTGTGGATGCAGTCTTTCAGTGTGTGTGTTGTTCTTTGAGGGAAACGCTGGATTGTTAGACGTGTGCATGTGTGCGTGTCTCTGCAAACCCAGCCTGGCAGCAGCGGCAGCAGCAGCCTGAAGCCTTCCCATCAGGAAGGACGCATTCTCCCACGCGAGCAACAGGTTTCTGTGCTGAGCTGGATCTGCATTAATGCTCCCGCCTGGCACGCTGTGTGCCGACAACACGAAACAAGCAAAGATAAGGCGCCAGATTTAAACATAGGAACTAAAGCGCGGCTCATCAGGTGTAATATCTTTACATCTTTCATTTCCTTGGTCTGCACTGGACCGGCTGCACCTTAGACTCCAGGGCTGTGTGTGACAGGTGCACACTCACACTGGGTATGCAGAAGAAAGGGGTTTTTGGTCCTTGAAGGTTTGGAAATTAGTCAATTAATAAAAAAGATTATTAGCACAATTGGAGATAAATGATCTGACCACGCCTCCAAACACGCCTCTAGCTCTACAAGCTTCTCGTTCTTGTTTTCTTGCCCTTTTTCACTTCTTCTCTTCTCATTAGTAAACAGGGATCCCTCCAGTGCTTTCCCCAAACTAATCCTTTATCTGCTAAAAACGCTGTCAAAGCTAAAATAAGGACGTGGGCCCAGCCTGTGAATGCATCATCGAGGAGCAGGATGAAGGCTCAATTCTGTCTGACACCGAAGATGCCAACGACACCGAGAACATACTGCGAGTGTGTGGTGATGGCTTCAGACTGAGCGTCAGTCCTCGTGTGCACACGCTGCAGCGCTCTGTGCTAAACAAAAACTACCATAAAAGCTGTGTGATTAAGTTTGGCTTCATTAGAGTGTGACAGCGTGGGCCTGTAATATTTACCGAGGGGCCAGTGGACGTCCACCGGCTGCAGCCACAGAGTGGAACCTCTTTTCTTCAGCTCCGTGCATTTATTCTGTGCTGAGCTGCCTCTTGTGTTCCCCCTTTTTTATGCAAATGGCTGCTCAAATGGCATTTATCGCAGCGAGGTTTACGCCACATGTAACACCGCTGCTGCCGCCGAGCCTCACACACACTCGCGCACGCACACACTCGTAGCTGAGAAAACAAAATGTCCACCACGAGCAGTCGACAGCTCAATTTATGCACTGAGGAAAGCGGCGTCTGGATAAACAATTACCCCTGGCTCAAACGGTCTATAACCAGCTTTCTCTGCGTCGCCAGCCGGGCCGATACATCATGAATATGGATTCCATCTCCATGTCTGATGGCACATTCTGAACCTTAACAGCCGTGTAAAATCCATTTAAACACTTAATAGGATCAGCTTGAGTCATACAGCCACGTCCTCACATGTAGCGCCTCCCGTCATTGTGTGCCGCAGATCCTCGCGCTTTTCCAAGCCTTTAAGAAGCAGTTTCTGAGCTTTGCTGCCACGTCGGATAGAAAAGTTAGCCGCAGAGTCACTTAGACATGCTTGTGACTGTAATTATACAAATCATCCCAGTCATTACCGCTGCACATTATTCCAATAATGCAATTAATGCTTAACACTTGGCTTAGCTGATAATTAGCGCTCCTTTGCTCGTGGAAACAAACAGAGCAACATGCTTAAATGTGTGTAGGAGGATGTACACCACGTCCACTGTGCTCTCGCTGTTTGCTACCTGCAACTGTGTTTGTTGCTGCTGCGGGGCTTCAGCTGTCATCTCATGTTGCATCGTGTAAACACCTTCCATCCAGCTCCACCGCTGCGCCGTTAGCCTGCGATGATTCCTTTGTTTGCATTAAAAAGCAAACAGGTGCATCGAGGCAGTCGACTGATTTTGGACTCTTCAGCGGTGTGTGATGAGCACACCGCGATGTGGTGTAAAGTGTTGTGTTAGTCGCTGTGTGTGCCAGCCTGTGTTTGGACTGTTTCAAAAGAGCTGCTCTGCTGTGAAACCCACTGTTGACATGTCCTGTCAAATGCAACGCTCGATTTCTTTGAGGCGTGGATGAATGAGGCATTGTGTGCTGAGAGTGACGCCTATCTAAAGTGCATGTGTGCTCCTGTGCTCGTGCACGAATGCTGTTGTGCGCTGACGACGCGCTGCTGCAGCTGCTGATGACTACGGTGATCCCTTTAAGCTAACCGCTGTTTTCAACACATGTGAGGTTGTCCTGTATGTGTGCCTTATTTCTGTCAATAAATTGTGGCTGTAAATACAAATAAATCCGTCTCTTCAAATTGAAGTGTGAAACGAAGCATTAATTAACAACTTGTGTACACACACACACACACACACACACATTGATGTGGAAAGAGGCCTTTACTGTGTGCTTGAGGCCTGTTTCATATCATAACACAAAATAAAAAATACACGAGGTGAGAGCTGCATCAGTGTTAAATATTTAACATAACTTCACACACTCTGTCGGCTTTTTCACCTCAGAGAGTAAAAACAAAACCATCTCCTCTGTTCTGCTCAGTTAAGTCCAAAGAAGCGTAAATATCCAGTGTATTTAAAAAAGGCAGACGAGCTGTGAAACTTTCATTTGTAAATAGTAGATATTTTTTACTAAATTGTTTCTTCAAACTACACACACACGAGCAGTAACGGCTAAAAAACGTGACTGATTTTAAAATCGTTTCCTTTTTTTCAAAAAGAGCCGTTTTTATCCTTCTTATTTTCACTTCTTTACATTAACTAATAGTTTTCATCAGCTCAAAAAAACAAAGAAAAGCAAGAAAAGAAATATTAATACACTCCTGAAAAATGTGTTGTGACCTGACAAGATCCACCAAAGGATTTGCTGCTGGGTTTGCTTCAGCCTCTGCAGCCTCTGACCTGCAGGCTCTACTTCCTGCTGCATGGGTTCAGCACGCATCATCATTTTGGTTTTCTACTAAAGACTGAAAATTTTAAATAACAATAAAAAAGATCTTCTTTTTCATAATATATTAAAACTGTTCGGACAGCCTTGAGGACAAAACGCTTTTCATTTTAATTCACAAAGAAAAAAACCCACAGATGAAATTCAGGGAACATTTAACTGCAGTTAATTAATCGTTATTTATTGTTAAAAGACAATGAAATATTTTTAATAGATGCCACTGAAGTTTAAAAACTTTATGAATGGTAAATAAACATGATTACAGCAGAGGAACATGTGGTGCTTTTATAAAACACAAACACTTGTTGCAGAGGCAGACGGGATGATGAGGGTCATTGTTTTTATTTGGATCGGCCGAGCCACCGAAACACAACCGAGGACTGTGGCGTTGATCCGCCTGCATGTTGAACGATGATGCTGTGATGTATCCAGAGCGCCTTTAACGAGCGTCTACGTGTTTGTGGTTCGTTTTCACCCGTCTCACCTTTGCTTGAATTATTCAGAACGTGCTCAGCAACGCAACTTTGTTACAGAACAACAGCTGGTCATCACTGAAAAACACATATAAAAATGTAAGTAAATATAGTGAATATACAAATAGAAATATAATGTAATCGTCTCTTATATAATAAATATTATATTTATTCTTTTTTTTTTAAACCACCAAAATAGTGACATAAATAAAATGAAGTCATATCTACTAATAAATAAAATCTGCTAATAATTATTATGAATCGGGGTAAAACACCAAATAACATGAAAACAACACACTCACTTTACAATTTGTCATTGATGGTTATGATGGGTTTTTTGCATGTTGGGTTAATTGGTGATTATAAATTGGGTGGAATGGTTGGTGTAGCCAGACTGTGACAGCTGCGATCAGGCCCCTGTGAACATGAATGAGTTGGATAAGCAGGAAAAAATATAATATAATGAAAATATTGAGCCTACAAAGTCCATTGAGGTGATTCAGTATAAAGTGACTCATGACTCTCATCATCCAAATAACAGAACGACATCATATTTTAGCGTGAGACCTCTCTAACCCACAACTACTAAAAAACGAGAGAAGCTGACGCCATTGTTATTCACACCAGATTACTGATCTACTCGCATCCTCTTATCACTAAGCAACAGATTAGCATATTACATCCTATTTAATTTAGCCTGCAAATACCCCGAGCATCTTAGTGCCTTTTATCTCTTGTAATCCTGTTAAAACCACAGTAATTGGAATCACAGAAATAACCCCACTAGACCAGAAACACTCAGTGTAGCCGAGGAAAATTCACAGTTTTTATTGGACAGCAGTGATTCCAAAAGACAAAATCTATTTAACAATATCAGCTGTTTTCTTTCATTCAATCATTTTTCAAACAGGACATTTAGTGTAAAAGGTAAAAAGAAACCCAGTCGAGTCTGAAAACAAAAGTGTGGACTGGAAGTTCAAACATGGCTCTTTTTGTATGTTGCCGTGTGTTATTAGGAAGGAGTTTACAGCCCTGTGAAAGCTGCACAGCTATTGGTTGGGGATGTTTTCAGGCCACTCATTACTTATTAAACACACTATTAGTGAAAATTGACAGTAATGATGGGAAAGATAGAACCCAGGCTCATTTGGCAGAACCGCCACAGGAAATATTCAGCTTTTGTACCAATTAATTATGCATCATCTTTACTTTGCTCTCTGTAGACCGAAACTGGGTGTAATGTAGCAGAACACACTGCAGTAGGTGAAAAGGAAAAACCCTCGTTACAAACAAATAGAAAGATTTTATTTCGTACGCTCAAGCGCGTTTAAACAAAATACTTTAAAGCCAAATGGATTTGAATTTTAAAAGAGGTTGTGTTATAGACAAAGGTCAGTTTCCCTCACGTTGAAAACAACAAACAACGAAATAAACGATAAAATGTTTTGGTATTTTCCCGTCTACGCCGATGCTTTTACCTTAAAAAAGCAGAGGAAGCTGTGCACTTTCATTATGTTTAGTTTAATACAGCAACTGCTCTAATCTTGAATCACACTCGGTTCTATATTTTTATTCTTTGCAGCAGATCCCGGATGCTGTGCCAAACCACCACTGATTATACTCCACTAACAAGCGCTGTGTGGGCATCGCAGCCCGTTATAGCTTACTCCTGCGTGGTACAGGGCTCCATTGTTTTCCAGAAATCATTAAAAACACATCAGTGAGCCACGCTGGTGTGCTCGGTGACATGTTTCTTCATTATCACGACACACACACATATGATATCTGTTTAAACCCGGTCGCACACACACTGTCCTGATGCTGCACCAGACCACCGGGTCTGGGTTCAAATGCTGTGGAAGGCAGTCGCAGACAGATGTTGGCGTTGTCCACTTCCTGTGTAAACACTGAGCTCCATCTCTGGAGGTGTGTGCTGCTTCTTTTCCTCTTTTGTAAACGTCTGTTTTCATCTTTGACAATCGCTGTTTTTTAACAAAGCGACACACAAATCAAATTATTCTTACATGCTGTTAATTTGTTTTTAGGGAAATAGAAAATGCTTGTGTGGATTATAAACTGACTTACATAATACAGCATAATGAATATATTTGATTTGATTTAAGCATGAATCATCTTCAATTGTTTTGTTTGTCAAATCTGACTCATCACAAGTATTTATCATTATTTATTTCCTCTTTTGTAACGGACAAAATATTATGTTTGTAAATGACTGCTGTGATAAACTTCAATCTGCACATTTAAAAAACAACACAGGTCGACCAAAGCGAAAAAGTAAACAAACAAACACAAAGAGAACAAAACAAAACTCGTCACAATTAAAAGCTCGGGAGTAAAGATGTGTTGTTACATCTTATTTACTGATATCATCTGACAGTGACGTTCAGCCCTGATTAAAGCCTCACACTGGATATGTGCACTTAGTTAATTATGTAAAGGCTCCACTGACTTCAGTCAAACTACATGGAGGTAAAACTCCGTTGCTGTCAGTGGCCTGTTTGCTAATACGCTCACAATCCACGCTGATCATGTTATCCTTATCTTACAAGTCTTAATTCTGTGGCTTTTAGTTTTTAAATTTTTACTGTTTTTAACTTGTATTGTGTCTTTTACCTGTATTGCTATGTATCGCTTTTATTTTTATTTATTTATTTTTTAAAATCTTTTTAGTTTCAAATAGTTGTACAGCACTTTGTTTGAAAGCGCTTTATAAATAAAGTTATTATTATTATTATTATTATTATTATTATTATTATTATTATGTTCACAAAGATAATAAAAGAAAAATATCACTGAAAGATAATTTCACTAAGGCAATGATGATGACTGTAATTTGTTTAATGTAGTGCAGCAACGTATACACTGTAAAAACTGTGACTAGAGGTTACTTAAAAAACCTATGGCAACAAAGTGACACTTAATTTACTTACTTAAGTAGATTTTAATTTCAAGTGATTTATGTAAAATTTAGATAAAATGTTAATGAAATTTCAACAAAAAACAATAATAGATATTATTAACATTCTCTTGTAAATATGTGTTGAATTTAGGGACAATTTTTCATTGTGTGTTTAAAATGATGTTTTATGGTTCTGCAAACCTTTTGTAGGGCGGATGTTATTTATTCCCTCGTTTCCATTTTAAAGTCTTTAACTCTACATGTTGGTATATTTAAACCTTTTATCACTTGCATAAAATCAATATGATAAAACAGACAGACTCAGGAGAGAATCAGTAGCTTTTAATATCAGACGTGTTGCAATGTTTTGTTTTTTAACAGTAATCTGAAGCATACGTCCAACATTTAATAAATGCTCTTCCACCCTATAAGTCAAAACATTAGCACCCCCCAAAAACAAACTCATGATTGCAGATTTTTAAACCCACAGGAAATCGTGTGATTGTTTTCACTTCATTTAGCCGTTTCAATATATTCAGAAATATTCAGAATCTCAGAAAAAGCAGGAAGCAGCATCACGAGCAGCTCAGGACCGTCGTCGTAGCAGCAGCAGGACGGGGACAGTGAGGAACAGCTTAAAGCGTCTCCTGAGCTGCTCTATTCCCCTCACTGAATCACGATAACAATCCTGGCTCTCCTCCTCCTCGTGCCCCCCTCTGCCCAAACCACCCACCAACAGCCAGGATAATGTGGTTTCCGCCAACAAACCCTGTCTGCAGTATTAATCAATTGGAAATGTGCTGCATTTCCTCTCTTCCTGAGACAAAAGCACATTGATGTTTGTCTTTGCTTCTTTCCCCTTCTTTTGCTAGCTGTAGCATAATATTGACTCTAACGAAGTACCTCGTGGAGCTACACAAATTATCCTGCAGTTAATAACTATGTTTTTGATTTTCATTGAAGGACGG